AGGAGATTGTATTTTTTAAGTCTGAGATTTGTAAATTATCTGGTGAAGAAACTCAGACTGGAACTGCTGCAAAGCCACTGCCGCAGAGACATGCTAGGAAAGGCAGATGGATTACTGTAGGATCTGGTAGACTTAGAGTTGTGGATAAAAGGCATTTTGCACAGTCTGTTGCTCTACATAATTCATTTCTGCACTTTCAGAGTGTAATGGTGTTGTGGAGAGAGGCACTGAGGCTAGTGGTGTTGTGGAGAGAGGCACTGAGGCTAGTGGTGTTGTGGAGAGAGGCTCTGAAGCTAGTGGTTTTGTGGAGAGAAGCACTGAGGCTAGTGGTGTTGTGGGGAGAGGCACTGAGGCTAGTGGTGTTGTGGAGAGAGGCACTGAGGCTAGTGGTGTTGTGGAGACCGGCTTGGAGAGTATGGTGAAGCCTAATAGAAAGCAGTTGTTGTTGGGTGATTCCATTATAAGAGGTGTGGAGATGGACAATGGTGGTCTTGTGAGGTGTCTTCCCGGAGCTACTGCTCACAGAGACAGGAGACGTATCTGTAATATTGTTAAACAAGCAAAGCAGGAAGGGGAATTGGATGTACTTGTCCATCTAGGGACAAATGACTTGGCTTGCAATGAGGTTTCAGAGGTTAAGGAAGTTTTTAGTGTTTTTGCCAATGATATACGGCAGGTTGCTTCCACACTGTCATTCTCTGAAGTTCTGCCTGTGCATAACACTCAGAATGACAGGCGGATGCATATTAGGGACTTTAATTTGTGGCTTGGTGAATGGTGTTGGGAGCAAGGATTTGGCTTTATTTCTCATGGTAGCTCTGTTTGGAATGGAGGTAATCTGTACAAAAAAGATGGTTTGCATCTTTCTCAAAAGGGATCAAATGTTCTCAGTGAGCAGTTCAGAGGTTTTGCTAGGATGTATTTAAACTAGGAGGGGGGGGCAAAAGGGTGATAAAACATCAATCCAATTGTCCCCAAAACAAGGACAGAAGGTGCCTGTAGCAAGTGTGTTAAAAAATGATAAGCTTAGAGTCATGTCTACAAATGCTCGCAGTTTAGGGAATAAGATCCATGAACTTGTGGCAATAATGGCAACTGATAGTGTAGATTTAGTCACTGTTACTGAGACATGGTACAATGAGAAAAATGACTGGGACATAGCAATACCAGGGTACTCTTTATATAGGAAAGATAGGGGAGGCAAGAAAGGGGGAGGGGTGGCCTTGTATGTGAAGGATAGCATAAAATCTAGCCTAATAAAAGTTAGTGAGGTAAACATAGAGTCCGTTTGGGCTACGTTAGAATTTGGTAATCGCACAGTAACTCGTGTAGGTGTGATTTATAGGCCCCCAGGACAAATTGAAGAGTTAGATAATCTACTAGTTGAGGAAATAGCTAAAATGGCAATGAAGGGGGGAGTTATCATCATGGGTGACTTTAATCTTCCTGATGTAAATTGGAAAACAAAATTAGCTACTGGTGCCAGGAGCACACATATTCTAAACTCCCTACTGGGATTGTCTCTAAAACAAGTTGTTGAGGAGCCAACTCGTAAAGAGGCCATACTAGATTTAGTGTTAACAAATGGAGATTTGGTATCAGATATTACTGTAGGTGAAAGTTTGGGATCCAGTGATCATCAGTCAGTGTGGTTTAATATAAGAACAGTGACTGAGTCACACCACACAAAAACAAAAGTTTTAGACTTTAGAAAAACAGACTTTTCTAAATTTAGAATATGGGTAGAGGAGTCATTATCAGACTGGAGCAATTTAAATGGAGTCCAAAAGAAATGGGATTATTTAAAAGTTGCACTATTAAAGGCAACAGAAAATTGCATTAGGCTTGTCAGTAAAAGCAAAAAATTCAAGAAACCACTGTGGTACTCAGCAGATGTGGCCAAAATAGTTAAAAACAAAAAGTTAGCATTTAGGAATTATAAAAAAACCCAGAGTGAGGGAGACAAAATGATCTATAAGATTAGGCAGAAAGAGGCTAAGCAAGTTATAAGAGCTTCAAAATCACACACAGAAGAGAAAATAGCACAGTCAGTAAAAAAGGGGGATAAAACATTTTTTTAGATACATAAATGAGAAAAGAAAAGTAAAACAAGGATTAGTTAGATTAAAAACAAAAGAAGGAAGGTATGTAGAAGAGGATAAAGGTCAGGCTGACTGCCTCAATGAATATTTTTGTTCTGTATTTACAGTAGAAAATGAAGGAAAGGACCTCAGTTGAGAAAAAGGATAAATGAGTCATTTATTACACGTGAGTTTACAGAGGAAGAGGTTCTATTTCAACTGTCAAAAGTAAGACAAATAAGTCAATGGGACCTGATGGAATACACCCAAAGCTATTAAAAGAGCTTAGTGGTGTACTAGCAAAACCATTAACAGATTTATTTAACCAATCATTATTAACAGAAGTAGTCCCAGAAGATTGGATGTTAGCGAATGTTGTGCCCATTCACAAGAAAGGTAATAGGGAGGAGTCGGGCAACTATAGGCCAGTAAGCCTTACTTCAGTAGTGGGGAAAGTGATACAAAACCATGTATTTAAAAAGGAATGAGATTGATGAACATCTAAAAACACATGGATTTCAAGATCAGGAGCAACATGGGTTTACTTCAGGGAGATCATGCCAAACTGATGTTATTGATTTTTTTTTGATTGGGTAACAAATTATAGATCAGGGTGGTGCAGTAGACATTGCTTACCTAGATTTCAGTAAGGCTTTTGACACTGTTGCTCATAGAAGGCTTATCAATAAACTGCAATCTTTAAGTTTGGATTCAAATATTGTTGAATGAGTAAGGCAGTGGCTGAGTGACAGGCAACAGAGGGTTGTAGTTAATGGAATATATTCGACGCTTGGACTTGTCACCAGTGGGGTACCTCAGGGATCTGTACTTGGACCCATTCTCTTTAATATTTTTATTAGTGATATTGCAGAGGTCTTGATGGTAAGGTATGTCTTTTTGCTGATGATACTAAGATATGTAACAGGGTTGATGTTCCAGGAGGGATAAGCCAAATGGCAAATGATTTAGGTAAACTAGAAAAATGGTCAGAATTGTGGCAACTGACATTTTAATGTGGATAAGTGCAAGATAATGCATCTTGGACGTAAAAACCCAAGGGCAGAGTACAGAATATTTGATAGAGTTCTAACCTCAACATACGAGGAAAGGGATTTAGGGGTGATTATTTCTGATGACTTAAAGGTAGGCAGACAATGTAATAGAGCAGCAGGAAATGCTAGCAGAATGCTTGGTTGTATAGGGAGAGGTATTAGCAGTAGAAAGAGGGAAGTGCTCATGCCATTGCACAGAACACTGGTGAGACCTCACTTGGAGTATTGTACACAGTACTGGAGACCGTATCTTCAGAAGGATATTGATACCTTAGAGAGAGTTCAGAGAAGGGCTACTAAACTGGTTCATGGATTTGCGGTATAAAACTTACCAGGAAAGGTTAAAGGATCTTAACATGTATAGCTTGGAGGAAAGACAAGACAGGGGGATATGATATAAACATTTAAATATATAAAGGGAATCAACACAGTAAAGGAGGAGACTATATTTAAAAGAAGAAAAACTACCACAACAAGAGGACAGTCTTAAATTAGAGGGACAAAAGGTTTAAAAATAATATCAGGAAGTATTACTTTACTGAGAGGGTAGTGGATGCATGGAATAGCCTTCCAGCTGAAGTGGTAGAGGTTAACACAGTAAAGGAGTTTAAGCATGCGTGGGATAGGCATAAGGCTATCCTAACTATAAGATAAGGCTAGGGACTAATGAAAGTATTTAGAAAATTGGGCAGACTAGATGGGCCGAATGGTTCTTATCTGCCGTCACATTCTATGTTTCTATGTTTCTACTTGTGTTTTTTTTTTTTTATGGATATTATAGGCCTGCATTGGCACAAAGGTTTTCAGGAATGCTGCCTTCTGTCTTGGAGGATTCCTTTCTCAATCATTCTTGTACTTCATGCAAAGGCTAATAATGTTGCTAGGGTTATTTTGGATGGTCTCATTCATGCCATATAACAGTTTTTACAATGTTTTCTGCAGTGTCAGTTTTGCTTTTTGAAATAGTCACTCAACCAGCTTGGAGTGAATTTGTGGAGCCCAAGTCCTTAAGAATAGAGATGAGCGGACACCTGGATGTTCAGGTTTGCCGGGTTCGGCCGAACTTCGGCAAAAAGTTTGAGTTCCTACTCGAACTTGACCCTAACTTGACCCCGAACCCCAACTCTACAAAAGTCCTGGAAAGGGCTAGAGGGCTGCAAAAGGAAGTAAAATGGGGGTAAGAGTAGGACAAGTGCCCAGCAAACAATTGGAGTAGCCTCCAAAATATTGGGACATATAAAAAAAGAAAACAAAGAATAAGTGCACTTAAGTATAACAATGGCTGGATGAGGCTGGTATAAATGTCTATTCTGCACAAGATACAGACAAGTCTGGTGGGATCCATGCCTGTTCATTTTAATAGATGTGAGCTTGTCCACGATGGCTGTGGACAGGCAGATGCGCTTGTCTGTGATTACACCCCCTGCCAGGGTAAACACATGTTCAGACAATACACTGGCAGCAGGGCAGGCCAGCACCTCGAAGGCATAAAGGGCAAGCTCAGGCCATGTGCCCAATTTGGAGACCCAGAAGTTGAATGGGGCAGCCCATCAGTCAGTACGTGTAGGTGTGTGCACACGTACTGTTCCACCATGTTGCTGAAATGCTAACTCCTGCTAAGACGTTCCATATCAGCTGGTGGTGCTGGTTGTTGTGGCATGCTGACAAAGCTTTTCCACATTTTGGCCATGTTAACCCTGCCTTCTGAAGTGCTGGCGGTGCTCCAGCTGCGTTGGCGACCTCTTCTTCCTCCTCTGCCTTTGCCTAGTGCTTCCACTGAACCCCGGTGTCAGTTTGGAATGCCCTCAGCAGCGCGTCTACCAGCGTGCACTTGTAGTCACGCAACTTCCGATCACGCTCCAGTGAGGGAGTTAAGGACGGGATGTTGTCCTTGTAACGGGGATCCAGCATGGTGGCCACCCAGTAATCAGCACAAGTTAGAATGTGGGCAACTCGGCAGTCATTGCGCAGGCACTTTGGTGACTCTAGATAACCTCGGGCCGATCGCATGTCCCCGTGACGGCGACAACGCATTCAGATGTCTGCCCTATCAACTTTCGATGGTACTTTCTGCACCTACCATGGTGACCACGGGTAACGGGGAATCAGGGTTCGATTCCAGAGAGGGAGCCTGAGAAATGGCTACAACATCCAAGGAAGGCAGCAGGCGCGCAAATTACCCACTCCCGATGCGGGGAGGTAGTGACGGAATATAACAATACAGGACTCTTTTGAGGCCCTGTAATTGGAATGAGTACACTTTAAATAATTTAACGAGGATCTATTGGAGGGCAAGTCTGGTGCAGAGCGACTGACCCATGCGTGCTGCAGCTAAAACTCCACTATCGCCTGCTGCTGCTTGCACAGTCTCTCCAGCATGTGCAAGGTGGAGTTCCAAATTGAGGCGGTTAGCGGGAAAGCCGAAGTTATGCTGCAGCACAGACAGATGAGAATGACGAAAGCGCGCACCGACGGCCTGCACTTTCTGCAGCAGCTCTGATATATCTGGGTAGTTTTTCAGGAATTTCTGCACCACCAAATTCAGCACATGCGCCAGGCAAGGGATGTGCGTCAAACAGGCTAAGCCCAGAGCTGCTACGAGATTTCGCCCATTATCGCACACCACCAGGCCGGGCTTGAGGCTCAGTGGCAACAACCACTCATCGGTCTGTTGTTCCATGCCCATCCACAGCTCCTGCGCGGTGTGGGGTTTTTCTCTCAAACATATGAGTTTTAAAACAGCCTGCTGTTGTTTCCCCCTGGCTGGGCTGAAGTTGGTGGTGTTGCGCTGACCGGATGAGGAGGTGGTAGAGGAGGCGGAAGGACATGCACCAAACTGCTATGTGCCTCAGGCCCAGCCGCCACTACATTTCCCCAGTGTGCAATTAGGAAAATATAGCGTCCCTGCCCATGCTTACTGGTCCACGTATCAGTGGTTATGTGGACCTTGCCACAGATGGCGTTGTGCAGTGCACACCTGCTTTTGTCTGCCAATTTGTTGTGCAAGGAAGGGATGGCCTGGAAAAGTAGTGGCGGCTGGGAACCACGTACTGTGGGACAGCCACCGCCATCAGGTTTTTAAAACTGTCCGTCTCCACCAGATGGAATGACAGCATTTCAAAGGCCAGGAATTTTGAAATGCTGGCATTCAGGGCCAGGTATCGCGGGTTGGTAAGGGGGTACTTCCTCTTTCTCTGCAGTGATTATTTTTATTTTTATTTGACTGCAAGAAATGCATCGCAGGTCGCAAATGTTCTATTTAGCACAAAAAAGTGTGATTTTTTAAAACAACAATGTAACAGTAGTATTTAAGGGTTTTATTGGACTGCAAGAAATGCACTGCAGGCCGCAAATGTACTATTTAGCACCAAAAAAATTTGAATTTTTAAAACAACAATGTAACAGTAGTATTTAAGGGTTTTATTGGACTGCAAGAAATGCACCGCAGGCCGCAAATGTACTATTTAGCACTAAAAAAAATGTGAATTTTTCAAAGTGCGATGTAACCACAGTATTTGACGGTTCTATTTTACTCTCAGATATGAAGTGCACCGCAGGCAGCAAATGTACTATTTAGCACCAAAGAAATGTGAATTTTTCAAACTGCGATGTAACCACAGTATTTGACGGTTCTATTTTACTCTCAGATATGAAGTGTATGCCACAAATGTACTTTTTAGCACAAAAAAGTTTGAATTTGTCAAACTGCAATGTCACAGCAGTATTTGATGGTTCTATTTGACTCTCAGATATGACATGCACGCCACAAATGTACTTTTTAGCACCAAAGAAATGTGGATTTGTCAAACTACAATGTCACAGCAGTATTTAAAAAATGCCTAGATGTTGCCCACTGAGCTAACAGAACAGGATTAAAGTAATGTGCCTGGCAAACATGCAGTTGCAAGTGCCCACCTAACAAACAGACTGATTGCTTATTTCTCTGTGGCACTGGGCTCAGGGCAGGGTACAAAAATGTAGTATATCACCCACAAAAATAATCGTTGTAGTTTGCAGATTTAACACCAGAATTCTTTCCTAATCTGTCCCTCACAGCTGCAGCATCCTCTCCCTACACTAATAAGAGCTCATGTGACTCCAGCTAATATAGAGGCTGGGTCACATGCTGCACTGGCCAATCGCAGCCATGCCATTAGTAGGCATGGCTGTGATGGCTTCTAAGGGCACACAAGTCAAACGCTTGTTGGTTGGCTGCCCTGCAGCTTTTCAAAACGCGCCATTAAATCGCCGAACAGTGAACTCGAACCTGAACTGTCACTGAAATGTCCGGGCTCGGGTTCAGGGTCCAAAAATCGTAATGTTCAGTATGAACCCGAACTTTACAGTTTGTGTTTGCTCATCTCTACTTAAGATCCATTCATTTCTTGCACTGTCGAGCAATTGGATTTCTTCTTTTGTTATTCTTACCGAGTTGGAGGGGAACAATTTAGATTAGGTTAGGCATGATGGAGATCATTTGATGGATATCGGATTGGAAATTTTAATGCTCACCTCCAGGCCGGCAAGGGGATGGTAGATTGATCAGGGGCTCCAATGTTTGAATAACATGGGAAGCAAGTCCTTGACAGAGCAATATATTGAAATTTGGTCACTACACCTTTGCTGAGCTCTGGTTTGACTTCTCTGCAACGACTAGTCGGGCTAGAGTTCAGGTATATTGATTAACTGTTTACTTGGGGGGTAGGTAAGGATTAAATGTAATGAATTAATTAAGTTTTGGTTGGAACTCAGGCCTATACCTTTAACCCCTTAAGGACACATGACATGACCTTTTATTCCTGAAGTTTGGTCCTTAAGGGGTTAAACAATAAGGAATATGTTGGAATGTTATTTAAGGGAACATGAATCAAATGTGGGCCTCTGATTCAGCAGTCACAAAATATTACCATAAACTGCAAATTGGTGAAAAATCACATGGGAACGCACAAAATATACCACATGAGATGACCTGAAGTGTCTCCTTTACAAATGGTGACCCTGGGGTAATTTTAGCCATCAAGATGCTACAATGCCCAAATTAAAACATAGACCCAGAGCAAGATTAACTGTAAGTCAACCCTCCACATGGATTTATACTTGTTTATATATTTTATTAGGGGTGTTCCCATTGAGTTGCTGCTAACTGTTTAGTAATGACCGCGCCTGTACATGTTCACATAAACATTTGATAGTTGTGCCTCTGCTTTGCAATTAGCAAGATATTTGATTGGTTAAAAGTAACAGGTGTTCAATGTTTTGGCACCAGTTTCCACTTTCCAGGTTTGCCTAAGTGAACAGTGTTGTACTTACCCCAAATTATGAGTTATGATGGTGGGTATATCTATGCACAGCCAGACACTTTGATTGTTGGGTCATGAGAAAGTTCTACAATAGCCCAAAATGCATAGGCCTGTATATGCCTATTGGCAGCAAAATGATAGGAGCATGTGTTACAATGCTATTTCATGGATTTAAAAAAAAAATATTTTAGGACCTTCCCTTTATGTAAGATTGGAGAATATTTTCAAAGGTTACTTTTTGCCCTTAGTGGATGATTTTCCTGTTTCACTCTTTAAATCATGAAAAATAAATGTAGTCATTTATTTTTAATTACTTTGTTTAAGCAGCATTAATTATGTACAGATTATTATTGCCAAAACTATGAAGATTTTTTATTTTAGTTTGTGTTTCTTGATTATTTTTATTTTTTTATAATAAATGAGAATTTATATATGTACATGTCGGTATATAACATGTATTGCTCCAATACATGAGAAAGATGGTTGAACACATAGCAAAATGTCAAAATTGCTTGTGTCCTAAAGAACAAAACAAGCAAAAGGTAGTAGGAGACATTACATCTGGAATAAGTTATTACATAATGTAAGGCAAATGCAATGTACATTGATCAATCACAACATGAAAACCACCTGTCTAGTATGCTGTAGGTTTGCCTCGTGCTGCCAAAATAGCTCTGATGACTTGAGGAATCATCAAGACCTCTGAACATGTCCTGTGGTATCTGGCTCCAAAACATTAGCAGCAGATGCTTTACATACTGCAGCTTGTGAGATCGAGCCTCAATGAATCAGTTTTGTTGTTCCAGCTCAGCCCACAGTTGCTCAATCGGATTGAGATCTGGGTTGGGCAACACATTGGACTCTTTGTCATGTTCCTCAAACTATTCCTGAACAATTTTCGCAGTGTGGTAGGTTAAATTACCATGCTGAAAGAGGCCACTGCTCAGGGAACCCAAGGGGTGTATATGGGCTTCAACAATTTATAGGTAGGTGGTACTTGTCAAAGTAAGATCTACATGAATGCCAGGACCCAACGATATATACTCACCAGGCCCCCACCTGATCTAAAAGAAAACATGATTCATCAGACCAGGCAGCTTTCTTCCTTCATTGCTCCATGGTCCAGCCTAATGCTCACATCCCCATTAAAGATCCTTTTTCGGTGGGGGACACGGGTCATCATGGGCACTCTGACCACTGTGTGCTCAAACCAAGTTGCATTGTGATGTTCTGTTACCTTTATTATGGCCAGCATTACGTTTTTCAGCAATATGAGCTATGAGCTTTTCTGTGTGATTGGATCAGACAGAACAGCTTCACTCTCCACTTCCATCAATGAGCCTTGTGTGTCCAATTCCTTTCTGATAACAGTGTGCCGGTTGTCCTTCATTGCATCACATTTGATAGGTACTAACCACTGAATTCTGGGAACACGCCACAAGACTTTCCATTTTAGAGATGCTCTGACTCCGTATTCTAGCCATCATTATTTGGTCCTTTGTCAAAGTCACTCAGATCTTTTATCTTGCTCATGTTTCCTGCCTCCAACATATGATATTCAAGAACTGACTGTTTACTTGCTGCCTAATATACTACACCTATTGAAAGGTGCCATTGTAATCTGTGTTATGCACTTCACCTGTCAGTGGCTTTAATGTTGTGGCTATTTTCAAGGTACTTAAAGAAAATAATGCTTGGCAGAAAAAACAGAGAATATGAGAACTCAATATAAAAAAACTCAAAGAAACTCAATAGCTTTCCCTTCGGTAAATGTCCACTCAGGTCTCAAAATAGATTTTGCTTTCTTGTGCTATTACAGAGTTCAGGGTCCATTGCATTACAGACTGATCTAAGCCTAAGGAAAGCTCAGAACCAAAATGCCAGCAGGTTATCTCTGCGCAAGATATACAGCAACCACAACAATCATGTTGGCCTTCTTTGAGCTTCATCAGTAACCTGTAGCTGATACCCATCTAGACACAGTAAGCACAGGGTCCACATCTGGATTACTTTTTCCTAAAATCTTTATTTTGAATGTGCAGTGAGTAAC